TCATAGAACCTTGCAGTAGAGGTGCTGAGACCCAGGTGGCACATTTTTTAAAGCAGCCACATCAGCTCATGCCTCTACTCCATGTGGACCCCAAAGAGAAACCGTAACAAGGACTGACTGCGCGTTCTTCTCTGCACTCAGAATTGTCTTTTCTCTTTTGTGTATCAGGTGTGCTGGGCGGTGTGCACGCACGTGTGGAGAGCAGAGGTCCCTGCAGAGGGTCTTCCTCCATTACTCTCCATCTTGTTTGTTGAGACAGGGTCTCTCACTGAACCTGGAGCTCACCACAGGGCCTGGGCCCTCTGTCTCCCAACACTGGGTTGCCGATGTGTAGTCCCACTGCTGGCTCTTACTTAGGTGGACGCTGAGGATCTGAACTCGGGGCCTTACACTTGTTCAGCAAGCACTGTGCTCAGGGAGCCACCTCATCTCCCCTCCTGACGGACAAAACTTCTTAATGAAATCCAACACATCCCTCTTTTTTTCTTTCCCTTTTGTTCCTGAGTTAGAAGTTAGGAAGTGTGTCTGATACCAAGGCCAGGAGAGCATCATCTCACTTTTTTTTCTGGATGATTTATTATTTTACTTTCTTATCAAGCCTATAGTATGTCCTAAATTAATTTTTATCTTCTGACAGGGTGGAGTGATTGAAGCTAGGGCCTCATGCATGCCAGACAAGTTCTCTGTTCTTGAACTATGGCCCCGGCCCCAGGAACTGGCTTTTATGCCCTATGTGAAGTAGGGATTAAAAGTTACTTTTTCTGAGTGATTATGCCGTCTTTGTTGTTGTTTTGACTTTTTGTTTCTTTGATTGAGACAGGACCTCTCTATGTGACCCTGACTATCCTGGAGTTTGCCACATAGACCAGACTAGCCGTGAACTCATAGAGATTCTCCTGCCTCTGCCTCCCTGGTACTGGTATTAAAGGCATGTGCCACCACACCTCCCTTTCCTACTGTTTTGAGATAGTAGTCTTGGAGTTGGGTATTTAGCTCAGTGATAGAGTGCTTGCCGAGCAAGTGCAAGGCCCTGGGTTCGGTCCTCAGCTCTGCGTGTGTTTCTGAAGGCTAGAGATCACCCTTGCTTTCTTCGTCAATCACTCTCCACCTTATGATTTAAGAACTAAACACAGAACTCCCTTGTTTGGCTAGACTGGTTGGCTGGTGGGCTCCATGGATCCTCCTGTCTCAGCCTCCCCAGCGCTGGGAGTATGCATTGCCTCACCCAGCCTCTCCATTGGGATGGGGTTTCAAATGCAAGTCCCATGCTTGGGCAGCAGGCACCTTACTGAATGAGCTGTCTACCACCTCTCTACTGTCACCACCTTAAGACAGCACAATGCTGTTCCAGACCAACATGATAAGCAGCAGAGTTCTAGCCTTCCTCCATGCTGCTTGAGCAAAGTTCTAGATCACTCAAACAGCAATGCCCTGTTTCTCCTTTCCAGTCTGCTCCGTTTCTGAGATGGAGTGGAGCCAGGCAGCATTTGCCTTCCTGTGGCTCTTTTATTTCTCTTCTTAGCATGACGTCTTCAAGTTTCATCCACATTGCAACATATGACAGGAGTTCCTTCTTTTCAAAGAGGCTGAATAACATTCCTTTTGTGCTTACAGCACATTTTGTCTGTGAATGGACTAAGACTGCTTACACATGTTGTTTATTATAAATCTCTGGGCAGTAAACAGAAGTGTGAAAACACATCACTGAGCTGTCACTTTAACCTATTTTGGATATATACCTGCTATTTCTACTTTTAATTACATTTTTTCATCCTTGTATAACCCTACCAAATATAGAGACGTGTTGCAGCTTCTCCACACCTTCACCAATATGTGTCACTTTATTCTAGTTTTCGACAGTGGTCTTTGTGTCTGGTGTAAAGTAACTCCTTATTGGGGCTTCAGTTTTCATTTCAATGATACTGAGATGTATCCTTGTGCTTGCTGGCCATTGTAAGCTCCTTTGGAGAAAAGGCCCTAGTCTGTTTTAACATGAGGCCCTTCAGGATGCAGTTACTGAGTTGCAGTGTTCTTTTTTATATGCTGGGTCCTAAGCGCTTGCCTGACATCTGGTTGGGGGAGCATTCCTCTCTAGCTGCTTGAAGTTTGTCTGGTTTTGTTTGGTCACCTGTGCTCTCTCCTGGGACAGCTATAGTTTTAGGTCTCCAGCCATCTCCAGCTCATTCCTGAGTGTAGTTAAGATAGGAGACCAGTCTGATCCTGACACATGAGGATGTGACCCTCCCCAGGGTCATTTCTTTGATTTTCTTTTTGGTTTGTCCCAGGCTGGCCTCAAACTTACTTTGCAGCCTAGGATGACCTGCGACTCCTGATACTCCTGTGTCCATCTCCAAAATGCTGAGTGGCCAGCCTCACAGCCCAGGGCACAGAGCTAAGTTCAATCTAACTTTTTTGGGTGTGGAATCTTTAAGATTTTCTACATATAAGATCATGTTATCTGCAAACAGAGATAACTTTACTTCTTTCTTTTTGTGTGTCCTTTATTTATCTTCTTGCCTAATTGCTCTGTTAAAGACTTCTGGCAGAACAGAAAGTCTTCAGTTGAACAGAAGTGGCAAGCATGAGTCCTTGCCTTGTTTCCAATCTCAGAGTAAGCTTATTTGTTTTCCTGTGGGCTTTCATGTGTGCCTTTATTATATTGTGATGATTTCTGTAGCCTGTCTTGGACCTCTCTAGGGACACAGTCTCTATACTGTTTCAGACATTAGTTTTCTAGCCTTTATGAGGCTTTTGTTGCTACCTTGCTGTGTTGAATAGAACTGTTATCATAATAGATGTTCTTGAGTTTTTTCCTATCTTCAGAGAGAATATTTCAATATTTGAGTTGGGCATGTTGGCACACCTCTGTAATCTCAGCACTCAAGAGACTGAGGCAGGGGGATTGGGAGGTTGTGGCCATTTTAGGAATGTAGCAAGGTTATAACTCAAGAAAAAAAATACACTGAGTAATTTGGCCATTAAGGACACTGCTTGCTGTGCATACCGATTATTTGTGTGCCGTTATCAGAGTAAAGAACATTCCTCTGTTTCTGGAATCGAGGAATTTTATTTTTTGATGAGCTTTCAAAACCATGAATGAATATCTTAATCCATTAAATACGTTTTCTGAACCTATTTAAATATTCAGATAAAAGCCCTTTCTTCTGTAAATGACATAAAAAAGACTGTCAAACCTGTCATCTATATTGACGTAAGTGACATGAAGACAGCGTCAACTACTTTTATATCGGCATATCTGACTGTGAGCTTCTCATTAGGACCTTTGCATTTCACTCATGTGAAAGATGGAACTGTGACTTTACTCTCTTTTCATGTCGATGGTTGACGTCATGCTCGGTTTACCTTCCAGGCTAATTCATTTGCAGTTAATCGAAGTACTCATGTGTTTGGGATTAAGTCTGTGAAAACAACTGTCTTGTTATTTTTGTCTTTTAGATTTTTGGTTTCATCTATTCTTGTTCCATTTTCCCTTTTTAGATGTTAAACTCTTGAACATGGCTGTTACTCTCAGAGGCTGGTAGTGAGTGCCTGCAGTCCCGGCTGTACAGGACTCGGGCCATCCTGGGGTATATAACAATACCTCCCATCTTTAAAAAAACATTTCTCTATGTTTTCTATTATCTTGCTTGTTGCTCCTTTATATAATGTTGCGCTTCTCTGAGAGCTCTTAAAGGATATTTTGTTAGATATAAAATTATACATTTAAATTTAAAATTTTCAGCCTTTAAGGCTTTTATTCAATTGCTTCCTATCTTCTTTGTTTCTGTGTAAGTCAGCCGTCAGTCATATTATGCCCTCTTTGAAGGTAAATGATTTTTCCTCTGTGATACTTACACTGTCCCTTTGTTGTTGTTGTTGTTGTTGTTGTTATTTAATAAAGAGTTTTTCTGTGTAGACCTGACTGTCCTGGAACTTGTTCCATAGACCAGGCTGGCCTTGAACTAAGAGATCTGTCTGCCTCTGCCCGCTGAGTGCTGGGATTAAAGGTGTGTGGTACCTTTAATCTTTGTCTTTAATTTTTAAGTATAGTTTTTCTAGGGATCTGGCAGAAACAATTTGTTGTGTGTGGGGGGGGAAGGCTTATTTGGGCTTGCAGGTGCAGAGGCATCAGTCCATCATGATGTGGAGGGTCCCAAAGAACAGAGTAGTTCATGGCATGGTGGCCAGGAAGCAGAGAAAAGGGACAGACAGAGAATGCAGGGAGGGGACAGGGCAAAATAGACTTCCTAAGACACAATCCCCTTATCTGACTCTCTCCATGACACCTCCTACTTTGTCCCGTGTAGCAACAATGTCTCTTATCCTAAACCCACAGGTGGGGTGGGGGGGTCTCGGTAGCTCCGAACCTCAGGGCCCCACAGCCTCTGCAAACACCTCCCAGCTCCCCACAGGCATACCTTCCACCATGTTCATTAATCTGATCAGGCGAGTCCTGTTTCAAAAACAGCTAACTACACAAAGGTTACCCCTAAAAAAAGGGAAAGTGATGCATATAATAGCAATTCTGCTTATGAAAGGGGTGGTGTGTGTGTGTGTATGTGTGTATGTGTGTGTCAGAGTTTTGTGAGTATGAGGACCTGTGCTCCTGGTTCTTGAGCAGTGAGTGTGCATGAGTGACCAGTCTTTCTTACAGTGCTATGCTATGTCTTTTGCTGTTTTCTGTATATTGAAACATTTCTTCCTCTGACTGCTTTCTGCTGAGCAACCTGCACCTCACAAATCCTCTTCTGATGTTTCTAATCTGTCGTAAAATCATTCTCATCATTGCTTATAAATTCAGAATTTCACTTTTAAAATAGAACAAGAATTATCCCTCCCTTTCTCCCTCCCCTTCCTTCTCTCCCTCCCTTCCCTCCCTTCCCCCCCTCCAGTCATCAGAGCCTTCACACTTCAAGCCCATGCTGTATAACAGAGCTATACCCTCCCTCTAAGAACTCTTTTTTATTTATTTTTCTAAGAATGGGTCTCACTATGTAACCTTGGGTGGCCTCGAACTCACAGAGATCCATCTGCCTCTGCTTCCCTGGGGCTAAGATTAAAGGTGTGTGCCATTACTCCAGGCTGGAGGTTACTCTGGAAGTCTTAACCAGGACAACTGCAGTGATTGTAAACATGCAGACACTGAATCACTGCTGTGCTACTGCCCCGTGCTTGGCCTTGTTGGTCCTGGCTCTGTGTATAGCTCCCCTATCACTGTAACGGAACTCCAGGAGCTGTGAATGAAGACGTGGAGCCTCTGAATAAAGCTGATGCTTTCCAGATAGACTTTTCATTTCCTTCTAATAGACACACAGCATCTGCTTAGGACAGCTGATTCTAAGCTTCTACACTGGTGAGTGTGAGCATGGTGTGGCTGGTCCTGAGGGAAGTTGCTGTCTACGTTCATTAGGTCACACAAAACTATTTTCCAGACCACATGTATCATCATCTTTCCCTGGCCATGAATGACAGTTCCTGTGTCTCAGACTCTGAATGAGTTTCTAGCCAATCTGATAAAATGTGCATGGTAAGCAGTGTGGTTTTATTTGCATTTCTTTTCTCCTGAGAGGTTAGGTTCTTAGAGTTCTCTGGGGCCTTCATTTGCTCCCACTAACCTTCTCCACTTCCCTACGAGTTCCTGAAATGTGGTTAGCTAGTCTGCTTTATCCCAACCCCAGTCCTGGGGCCTGATAAACACTCGGATACGTCCCCATGCAATAATGCATTCAGCATTCACAACCGACTTCAGCAAAGGCCTTTGACCTGCACTAATAGCAGAGAACACAGAATCAGAGAGGCTAGGTAATTTGCCCAAGGACACACAGATGGGATGTAGCAGACTTCAGGCCCTCTGCTTCCCACTGTGAAGGGTTTGCAGAAGCTCTTGGAGCTTCTTACGAGCCTCGTGTGCATCCCAGTAAAGAAGTCAGGGTAAAGTGCCCAGCATGACCAGAAGACCCCTTTGGGTGCCAAGAGTATGGGGAAAGGAGTGACAGGAACAACTTAAACACCGATGTCACTGTTCCCTTGGTGCAGGAGCCCTAAGTACATCCTCAGATCCCAGAGCAAGAGTGTGAAAGAGCTGTCTATGCTGGGTGCCAGCCTCTCCAGTTGGTGCTTGCCCATCTTCAACACTTCTGATACTTCTGGGCCCCGCTTTTAAAGATAAGCAGAGGGGACTGACCCCAACTCTTGGAATATCAGGAAGGTGGCATGACTGTTTTTTTTTTTTTTTTCTGTCAGTGGTTATATCTCATGGTGGTGGACTAGTTTTTCAGCAAGTTGGTTGTGATTTCCTTAAGAAGCTTTTATGTGGGCCCATGAGATGGTTCAGTTGGTAGAAGTGCTTAGCTGGATGATCTGAGTTCAGTATCTGGGACCCACACAATGGAAGGAGAGAACCAACTCTTGGCGGTTGTCATCTGACCTCCTTATGCGTGCGTGCGTGTACACACACACACACACACAATGTGTAACATCTACCCTGCGCCTACAACTGTTACAGGTGTTTATAAGCACCAAGTAAATTTCCCAAGGGTTCTGACAGAATGGTACCTTTATCATTGATACTTACAGATGAGGATCTGGGACTCAGAACAGTAAAGCTAGCCCTTTGAGAGCACAGAGCCTGAGTTTGAGCTGAGGCTGTGCCAGCTCCATGGTGTCTTTACCCAGCATGCTGCCCCACTGCCTCTTGTCTTCATCCTGGTTACCTGTCGATGCTAATAACACGCTATTTTCTTTTGACACAAGTTTATTAGAGTAAAACAATGGTCAGCGAGTTAAAGATAGTAAGCAGAGAGTGCGCCATGAAAACCCTGAAGGTGATAAGTGAATGGCAGAGGTTCCACAGCTGCCATTCTAGCCCAGCTGTCTGGAGCAGATGTACCACAAAGGCAGCATGTTAGGATAGGAAGGACAGTGGTTCAGGGAGAGGACTCAGTGTTTGGGATAGCGTGACTGTGCTGCTTAGGTTTTGTCAACTTGACACAGCTAGAGTCATTTGGAAAGAGAAAACCTCAATTTAGAGAAGGCCTCCATCAGATTGACTGTAGGCAGCCTACAGGATATTTTATTAATGATTGATGTGACAGGGCCCAGGCCACCATGAGTAGTGTTACTCCTAAGCAGGTGGTTCTGAGTTATAAAAGAAAGCAGGCCGGGCAAGCCATGGGGGAGCAAGCCAGTAAGCAGCACTCCTCCATGGCCTCTGCATCAGCTCCTGCCTCCAAGTTCCTGCCCTAACTTCTCTCAGTGACGGCATGTGACCCGAGAGTTATAAACTGACATAAACCCTTTCTCCACAAGTTGCTTTTGGTCATGGTGTTTATCACAGCACCAGAAAGAAAGCAAAGAAAGGAGAATGTTGCTGGCGTGCAGGAGTGGGTGTGGCTTACACCTGACACCTGGCTCCCCACGGGCTGCTCTTAGCTCTGAGGTTCAGGGGTAGAATGTATCCATTTCAGAGATGGCAACTAAGGCCTGTTGAGATCAGAGATTAGCTGAATGCTGAGCCCCTCCTCCACTTTGCTATGCCGGGGAAAAAACATACAGAAATATAACTAACACAGCATGGGGGGGAGGGGTCTTTGGGCTCATGTAAATGAAAACTTTACATATGGGCATCAGATATAACCTGATTCATGTTCTTAATGTGTCCCTGCTTGAATCTGAAGTGTCTCCTATAGGTTCAACGCTTGTTCCTATGTTTGGGGGTGGAGCCTGGATGAAGGAAGTAGGTCTCTGGGGATGGGCCTTTGAGGGTGATGATCACCCTGTTTTCTGCCTTGCTCCCTTCTTTGTGGGCCATCATGATGGGAACTGCCTCTGTCAAGAACTCGTATCATCATTCCACCACCCCTGGGACAGGCTGAACCTCCTGAAACCATGAGCCAAGGTATGTCTCTAAGAGATGACCAAGGAAGGTGGCTGCAGGTTTCTGGTAGGCTCCCAGAAAAGATCAGTATCAGGAATCTAGAGATGAGGCCAGGCTGTCTGCCACTTGCTTCCCTGAGCTTGTGTCTTGCCCTATCTGGTCCCTGTGGCAGGACTTGGCCTCGTCTGTGGACCATGCAGAGGGGCTGCAGTTTAGGGAGCACGCTGTGAGGAGGGCTGCCAGGTCAGGCAGGCAGGGCAGCTGATGTCTCCCTGTGGGTTGTGGAGAGCTGTGGTATGGAGTGGAAGAGAAGAGGCTCTTGACAAAGGACAGAAGGAGTTCTATTTTCCCTCTGGCTAAGATGTGACACAGAGTTCTGCTCTGCTGGGGCTTCTGTCACAGGTTTGACGCCTTAGAGAGGAACAGGCTTGGAGCAAGCCTCCTATGGTTAGAACTCACCTCTTCAGAGTGTAATATCAGGGGTGGGGGAGGGGGCTTTGCTCAGTCTGATGCTGCAACAAAACACTCGACACTGGGAAATGAGAAGGACGTTTATTCAGCTGAGGGTCTGGCATCTGGGGAGCCCAAGGACACGGCACCATCACAGCATCAGAGCTGTACAGGGAGCACAGTTGATGTACCAGCTTGGACCGCTCTTCCTTCCTTTCCTTCCATATCCTCCTCCTTGCTTGCCTTTCGTTTTCAGTGCAGGGGCAGAAACCAGGGACTCACATATGATTAGGCAAATGTCAGAACACCAATTTCCGTTCCCACCATGATCTATTTAAAACTCACTCATGCCATCACAGGCTCTGCCCTCATGACCTCCGATAATCCTGATTCCCTTCGTTCTATTAAAGTATGATCTGGGTGTTAGGTTTCTAACACACAAAGTTTGTGGGGGACACAAACCATACCACGGAGCTTATGAAGGCAGGGGCCACCCAATGTCAGTGTTACTCAAAGCAGGTTGAGCTGACATTTTCCATAATGTTTTATTCTAATGCTTATGTTTTAGTAATGACTATAATTACAACAGTTACAGGGCTGAAGCAGGAAGTTCAAAAGGTCATGACCAGTCTTGGTTACATAGTGAAGACTGTCTCAAGAGGAGACGGATGGAAAAGGGGGAAATACACCCCTGTGGAAAAAGTGTACAACCGTGAGCATTAATTTTTAGAACGGGGTTGGAATAAAGTGTTTAAGGCCATTTATAGAAAAACAATAAATAAGTAATTTTGAAAGTGAAGCATTTTGGAAGCCCCTTGGGCACAAGAGCACTACTCTTGTTGTTCTGTTCCAGAACCTTCTGGACTCTGTCCTAGCTCAGTCAGCCCTGCACACGGTGTGTATCAGAGCCTACACCCAGCTTTCTCTGCACACCACTTGAACTATCACAAAGCTCTACACAGGCCTTTATTGCTTAATTTTATGAGGCCCAGAGATAGCAAGAGGCTGGCCTGGAGCCACACAGCTGGCCATGTGAACCTTGGTCCTTTACACTGCTTCTTTGATGATGGTCTAGTGGGCGACTCAATGTTGCTGTTGTTGGGGAACTGGAAATGAAATGTAGACTTATTGTAATCCTTGCTTCATACTGGAGGAGCTGGCCGAATGAGGCTCCCGAGCAGATGGAGCTAGCACTTCTATAGGCAAAGGGCAGGAGGAGCCTGGTGTCCACCTATGGTTAGCCTTCTGTCCACAGCATCATTATCCCATTGATGCTACAGGGGCTCTTGTCCATCTCAGCCAGTGAGGGGCTCTCAGCAACTTTGTTTGGTGCCCTGGCTTTCCTAGTGTGCCACTGTAGAATACTCTCTGGCTCCCCCATGGGCTAACCTCATCTTTAGTATTCAACAAGGGTCTTCTTTGTGAGCTTTGGATGAGTTCTTTTGATGTGGTGGGGACAGACCCTGGGTGGGGAAGCCACTCAGAACACGGCCCCAGCTGGTTCACCGCATATACCACACACTTTTCTTGCAGGTCTGGGCCACAGCATGCCACGGGGCCTGGCTGCTCCCATACTCCTGCTGATTCTCCATGGAGGTAAGTCTCAGCACCATGACTGCAGGACAGGTGGGGACCATCTCCTCCCACAAAGGTCAGCAGGGCCCACATGGTGTTGTAGGCTCCTGGTCATGACTGCTGGCCAACGACCCACAATCCATAGCCTCTGTCTGTTTGACACCAAAGCTGAATGCCTCATTTTCCGTTGACCAGAACCCATGGAGCCCAAGAGCTCCAGTAAACAGCAAGGCTCTCTGCCATCATGGGAAGGAAGTCCTGCTCTTGGTCTAACCTCCATTCCTCTTTGTGCAAGATTCTCACTTGGGTCATGAACCCCCAGTAGGCTGGAGGAGAAGGGAGGTGGAGATAGAGAAGCCAGAATTCCGTTGGCAGTCTCTGAGGAAAGATGTCAGAACTGCAGGCCAAGAGTCCTGTTTAGGGCATTCTCCTCCACAGCCAGGAGTCCAGGAGTGCTCCACCTCAAGAGCTAGGAGATGAGAGGCTGTTCTGGCTGCCCTGAGGTGAGGGAACTTGACTCTCTGCAGACTCAGCAACTTTGCTCTGGGTTTTTACCGAAATATCCAGTACTTTAGTTCCCATAGGAAACAGGCGTGTCTCTTGATTTCCTTTTCTGTTTGAGACACCCTGCCTGGTCTGGAAACCCCAATTATTCCCGTATCGGGGAGAAGGGGGTGGGGGCTGGGTATCAGGCGCTTGTCACTGAGACTAGAACATCATTTCCTGCTCCTCCTGTGGGGTCTGGCTGTGTTGCCATCAGTGGAGAGACAGAGGTTTAGGGAGGACACAGACCGTGTGGCCACCTGTGTGTGACTGCCTGACTCTTAGGTCTGCCTCTGTCCCATGGCACTAAGACAAAATGTAAGGAGCAGATGCCTTGGCAGGGGGATGGCTTTGGTGATGTGCTTGTCATTCCAGCATCAGGACCCATGGAAGGGACAGTGTGCAGCTGAGAATACCTGTTATCCCTGCATTGAGGAGGTGGAGGCAGATCCCCAGGGCATGCTGGCCAGGCTGCTTAGCTAAATCAGTGAGCTCCAGGCTGGGCACGAGAGCCTATCTCAATAAACAAAGTTGAGAAAGATTGAGAAAGACCTCTCTCCAACTTGCATGTGCACATGCGTGTGCAGGAGCCCACACATGGGGTCAAACGTATATCTTCTACAGTCCTGGGGCTGGGTGCTCAGCGCAGGAAGTCCTACGCCTGGCAAAGCTCAGCATCTAGTTCCAGTGTGGTGCTGAGCCTCTTGCTTTCACGGTGGGAGGCAGGATGTGGGCAGAAAGGAGGCTGGTCCGTCCAGCCATTCTTAACACCACTAGACCCCTTAGGAGCTTGACCTGGCAACTCTATTACTTTGGAGGCCCCACCTCCTCACAGTTCTGTGGCCCGAGCATTTAATGGGGCACACACCTTGTAATTTTACCAGGGCCCCAGGTACCTGTTGTGCTGCTGTTAGTTCATTCATTCATTCATTCATTCATTTTTGAGGTTTTGAGACAAGGTTTTGGTATGCAGTTGTAATCTTACCACCTCAGCTTGCTGCTATGGTAATTCTGTGTTATTTTGATTTTATAATTAGTTACTTTTCCTTTCCCTTTGAGACAGGATCTGGGTATGTAGCCCAGACGGGTCTTAAATTAGGAATCCACCTGCCTCTGTTCCCCAAATGCTTGAGAAAGCGGATGTACCCCATGCCTGCTGTACCTGTCATTTGTAAAGGAAACAAATGGCTGGGGTGGTGGGGGACAGGGGAGGGGAGGGGAGAGGGAGGGGAGAGGAAGGAGAGAGGATGGGGAGAGGAGAGGGTGGGGGAAGCGGTGGGGGAGAGGGAGGGGGTCGAGAGAGGGAGGGGGAGAGGTGGTTCTTCCAGCCCAGTGCCTGCTGCAGCATTCATCTTGGTAGCCATGCTGTCATCAGCAGTGGCAAAGTCAACTTTTCTGCAAACTGCTTATCCACTCTTCCCCCCCCCCCGTCTTCCTTAACCCCTTCCCTTCCAGACAAGGCTTTGAGTTCATGACCCTGTGCCACTCACCCTGACCTCGTGGATTTCTCTGTTCTCTGCCTATAGTGGGTTTAGAGTGTCTTACCTTATGAGGGACAGTGGTCTTGGAACCAAATATGGGGCCCAGTTCCACATTAGAAGAGCCTGTGACTCTGCCCAAGCTTGCCCTCAGCCTCACACAACCTGCCAAGCCTTTCTACTGTGTCTCACCCGCAAGGTCCTCTCTGTTATCCCTCCAGCCTGGAGCTGCGTGGACCTAACCTGCTACACTGACTACCTCTGGACCATCACCTGCATCCTGGAGTCACGGAGCCTCAGCCCCAGCATACTCAGTCTCACCTGGTGAGTAGCCACGCCTCCAGGCCCTGAGGAGCTGCTCTGAGAGGATGGCAGGATGTGGAGGGGCTGCCTGCTGAGCCAACCAGGGGCATGCTCAGCAGGAAGCTTAGCTACAAACAAGGGTCCGCCCCTTCCATCAGCAAACGTCAGTCACTGAGACTGTGAGCTGTGAGCCAGGTCCCTGCCTTACAGAGGAGCAAGCTCACAGAACTCACTTGGAACACACAAACGGGAGGCTGTAGTCTGACTTGCTTTCCCTTGTAGACCTTCCTGGGTTAGCAGCCCTAGGATGGCCAGTTCCCAGTGACCTTCTAAGCACTGAGTAGGCATTGTGTTCTCACCATGAATAATCTTGAAATTATTGCTACCGTGTTCCAGTGGAAGACACTGATGTTCAGTGGAGCTCAGTCATCGGCTCAAATTCTCAGAGCCAGTGTGCTCACGATCCCGAACGGTGTTTGAGGATGGAGACCCCTTGTCCTTCAGACGTTCATCCACTTTAAACAAAGTAGGGGGCCGAGGATGAAAACAAGACTCAATACTGCAGGGTGGGGAGGCAGGGATGCTCAGCTGGGCTGGCCGGGCTGTCCACGGCAGCAAGCATAGCACGTGCAAAGGTCATGGGGAAGCAAACGCTGCTCACGGTGCCAGCTCCCTGGGTCCTGAGCAGAATACGCCAGAGTGAGGGAAAATAATAGACACGGAAGTCAGTAACTGCGCAGGAGCCGTCTGTGCTGTATGGGGAAGGGCAGCCGGTGGCAGCGAGCTTTGAAGGCCCCTCTAGCTGCTAGACTGATGAAGCTCAGGGATAGTGGAGGAGGGAGCAGTACCTTCAGACAGCCGTTACAGTGCTCCAGGCTGGAGGCACGCTTGGAGAAGGTTGTTCAACAAGGTTTGTGTTACGGGAAATTCAGTGAAGGACTAAGTTAGGTGGCAGATCTGAATTGGTCCTGGAGGGTGGGTGGTCATGTTCAGGAAGGAAGAAAACAAAACATCCGTGGACTTCTATATATACTCTAAAACCCATCCTTTTTTGCCCAGTGAGACTTAAAAAGCCAAAGCATTTCCCATTGCCCCACCTGGCCAGTGTCCCTGAAGATCTGTCAGAGCAGAGAGCCAAGCTTTACTCACCTCTAAGCACAGAGCTGTGAGTATTCAGTAGTGGAGGGCAGAAAGGAGGGAAAACCTGCTTGAGACAGGGGGACAGGTTCAGGCCCAAATTCCCAAAGCTGAGAGCCGCTGCCCCAGGCAAGATAGTGAGCGTCTGGTCCTCTGAAGTATGCAAGCTGTGTCTGGCTGGACTCAGAGCATGCCGGATGTTGTAGGGAGGGGACTGTCCCTGGGAGAGGGGCTGCTTGGACCATGACTCTCAGCCCTACCTCCAGCCCCTCTCAGCCTCACGCCTTGAATTACTGTCCTTCCCTGAGCACTGAGCTCCACTGTCCCCAGCCATGACTGTCGACTCTGTCCTTCAAGGCAAGATGAATACGAGGAACTTCAGGACAAGGAAACCTCCTGCAGCCTGCACAGGTCTGGCCACAACACCACGCATACATGGTACACGTGCCACATGCGCTTGTCTCAATTCATGTCTGATGAAGTTTTCATTGTTAACATGATGGACCAGTCTGGCAACAACTCCCAAGAGTGTGGCAGCTTTGTCCTGGCCGAGAGCAGTGAGTACCATGAGTCCGAAGCAGACGGAGACCTAGGATCTTTCTCTGACTTCAGAGCAAGCCCTGAAGCCATCTTTCTAATTCCGCTGAAATCTACTGTCTTTGGCCTGTCCTTTTGAGATGCCCGGCTCTTAACTCGGGTGTGACTCTTTGATATGGGATTTAGGCTAAATGCCCACGAGGGACATTAGAAGCTTGGAAAGGTATAGGGCAGGACCCCACTCAGCCCTCCCTCTCTGTCCGACCCTGAACAAGGTTTACCTTGTAAATACCCTTTATACATGATCCCCTAGGATTTTGCTCTTAGTATGAGCACCAGTCAGCTAACACGGAATCCTCCCAGCTAGATGGGAGGGGCCTAAGGTTAGGAAGGCCCCAGGATGGACCTGGCTGTAGCTGTCCACAGAGCTTAGGCTGGGCAAAGAAGGGATCTGGGGCTGGCAGCAGCTTTGGTGCATGGCAGTCTGTGTATCTGTATACACATATACACATATGAATATTATATGTTTACATGTATGCATCTCTGTGTGGTATGGGGCCCCTTCTTTAGGAGAGAAATTGAAAGCAACAGAATCCTGTGGGCACCTTGCTCAGGAATTTTCTACATTAGGTACTAATATTAAACCTTAAGAAACTTCCCTCAGCCATCTGGATTTCCAGATTTTGCCATTTTGCTTTTCTCTTTCTTTCTACAAAGAAAGTACAGAGGATCTTGGTCTGTATGCCTGTCCCCAGCTGGGCTGGGCTGGGCCTGAGTCCTGACTCTTCCTTTAAGCCTGGGAGTTGTTCTTTCCTTCCCCTCTATCCCCAGTCCTGGGTCACTGTTTCAGTTACCTGAAGTGACTAGATTTCATCCAAGTAAACAGGGGCTGTGGCCAGGGAGAGCTTTGTACAAAGTCATCCTGTGGCCTTTGGGGACTGTCAGAAGGGACTCTGCTGCCCACAGATTCTTACTCTGCTTCATCTTTCTGGGTCTTCCTCCAAGTCAAGCCAGCTTCTCCCTTGAATGTGACCGTGACCTTCTCAGGACGATATGATATCTCCTGGGACTCAGTTTATGAAGAACCCTCCAACTACGTGCTGAGGGGCAAGCTACAGTATGAGCTGCAGTATCGGAACCTCAGAGACCCCTATGCTGTGGTGAGGTGGCAGGGCTTTGGGGTGGGAGCTACAGGGGTATCCATACAGGCAGGTCCCAGCATAGTGACACAAGGAACAGGGCTTAGCATTCCCTCCCAGCATGCAATCCTCTCCTTCCTTCTCCCTGGGCCAGGGAACCCCTCACTACGTCTCCACCTTGACTCCTTCTCTATGGTCCACCTCAGTTACAGTGGGGCAAGTTTGGGAGCATCCACTTACTTTGAATGTGAAGGCTACTTAAGAGTGCACAGCTGGAAGTTTCCAGAATGACTCACTGTTTAGGCAGAGCTAAAATGGTCCTGGTTGAAGACTTCCATAAAGGGCATCATCTAGAATGTTCCCAGGGACACATGTATAGGTTCACTGTTAAGTATGTCCCATGTCATTTGAGACAGGGGCTCACTGTGAAGCTTCTAGTTAAGGATATGTAGGGGTGTCCATGGTTGCCTCCCAAGACATTGATGGTTGGTGGTCAAGTTATTGCCATAGAGAGGAAGCTCTTTTTCTAGGTAGCTCTAGTCAGAGATGTTTGTTCCTTGTGGGGCCTGCCTTGTGTGACCCCAGTGGAAGGACTCTGTGCTCTACTGATGACCCAAGTGACTAAAGAGTGTCCTGTTCCTTATGTCCTGGCAGAGGCCGGTGACCAAGCTGATCTCAGTGGACTCAAGAAACGTCTCTCTTCTCCCAGAAGAGTTCCACAAAGATTCTAGCTACCAGCTGCAGGTGCGGGCAGCACCTCAGCCAGGCACTTCATTCAGGGGGACCTGGAGCGAGTGGAGTGACCCTGTCATTTTTCAGACCCAGGCTCAGGGTAAGTGTGATGTGGTTAGGACACCCTACTCCTGGTACTAAATCTTGTCCTGTTGCTTCGCAAGCCCTGAGATTCCCAGCATGGCTGGGGGGTTTGTGCTCAGTTATACATCCCCAGTTGCAACCACTCATCACTGTGAGGGGAGCTACTTCTTCTGGTGGTGCATTTGACTCCTAACTCTGAAGAGAAAGCCATTGCCCCATTTTATAGAAGAGGAAACTAAGGCTTGGAGAGATGATAACACTTAACTGGAATAAGAATAAAATACCTGATTTGATCAATTTAATAGAGTAAAGGGGTGTTTTAGCTTATGGTTTCAGAAGGTCTGGTTCATGATTGCAAAGCCCTTTTGCATTGTGGGAGCTTACATCATGGTGGTCAGGACATAAAGATGGAGAAAGGGCTGGGATGCCAATATCCTTTCAGTGTGTCTCTAATGGCCTAACCTCCTCCCACTAGACCCTGACCTTGAAATGTCCCACTACCTTCCAGTAGCATCCCAGGCTGGGACCATACCTCTGACACAGAAGCCTTTGGTAGAGGGGTCATTTCACACCCGAACTCCAAAGGGAGGGAAGGATCAGAACCCAGCTTCCTTCCAGCCCTCCACCCCACCCCACCATCTCCAGCACACCCACCCATGTACTTCTGGGAGACTTTTCTGTTGGACCCACGGTTTGCTCTCTGTGCAGAGCCCGAGGCAGGCTGGGACCCTCACATGCTGCTGCTCCCGGCTGTCTTGATCCTTGTCCTGGTTTTCATGGGTCTGAAGATCCACCCACTTTGGAGGTGAGGCCAGGGGCTCAGGGAGGCAGAGAAGGGGTCAGCCTGGGTCACAGCCTCTCCAACCAAGACCTACTCTGGTCAGGGGACTTGGTGAGAGCACTTACACTAATGAATAGTGTGTGTTCCATGTGCTAGACATTGTGCAGAACTTCCGCCCCAGGTCCATGGCTGCCCTGTGAGCTTGGCACACTCCAGACACGCTAACTCTTCAAATGGGGAAAACTGAAGCACAGAGCAGTCAAGCTACTTGTCCAAAGTCACACAACTATGTAGTGGCGAAGATGGGGTAGAAACCTTGTGTTCTTTGTGGTGACTTTGGTTGTGACTTTGTCCAGGGAATGAACTTTGAGGCTGAGGGGATAATCATCCATTCCTTCCCCCACCCTCCATTTCAGCTGGGGGGTGGGGTGCTGCGATCTGCTTTACATACAAAGCCACTGCTCTGGGTGCCATTGAGAGGGCCGTGGCAGGCTATGTGCAGAGTCCTTTGATAAGTGACAGAGTGGGCCTCTGTACACACTGCTGATTGTCTTCCCTCCAATGAGATGCTCAAAGATGGGCACAGAGGATCTGTAAGGGAGTTATCAGGGTGGTCGTCACAGCTGATGGTGACAGCCTAGGCCTCTCTCAGTCCCAACCCATCATGGTGGACGAGGAGGAAGTCGAGGCCCCAACAGGTAGCATGTGCCCAGGCCACAGTAGATGGCAGAGGCAGGAACTTGAACATCTGCAGGAAGCCTGGGGGTGAGGGTGACTGTCGTTTCCGCTTTACTGATGGGTGAGCAGAAGGGTGCCTGGCAGTAGAAGTTGTTGCTTCTGCGGGAGAAAGGCCAGACTTCCTACTTGCTGCTATAGGGGCTTTGCCCACTCCCTTTCTTTGCAGGCTATGGAAGAAGGTATGGGCACCAGTGCCCACCCCTGAAAGTTTCTTCCAGCCCCTGTACAGGGAGCACAGCGGGAACTTCAAGGTGAGCCACCTTAGATGCACCCTCTGGATTGTTTGCTCTTTAGGAGAACCCTACCAACCCTCACCCTAACCCCAAGACCACTCTGTGAGCCCAGAGCACTCAGGCCCAACCAGACCTAGAACCAGTCCTCGGTTTCCCTGCTTTACAAGGTGTGGGGTTGTTCTCAGACTTACACATCATGATGTGTTTCCAGCTTAGAGTTATAGTGAAAGTGGGCAAACCGGGTGGCTCTGGAACCATGAGCTGGTTGCCTGGGGTTTCCTATGTGACCTTGTTCTGTGATGGGGACCAAATCCTGCCTGAGAAGGACCTGTCCTACCCCACAACGCATCCCAAGTACAGCTGCCACTATTGTCATTTCAGAGTGTCTGCCAGCCCTGCTGTGCAAACCCAACAGGGCAGGAGGCACTGAAGAGAGCATGTGGTATCAGGATAGGGATCCTGGAGCACACCATGGAGGTCAGAGATGTAGGGCACCTAAGGGACACCTGCTGTGCACCTGGCCTGCAGCCTTACCTTAAAAGGAGCTCCTGCTGTGGGTTCCCAGCAACCCTCGGTCTCTAGGAGAGGATCTAGGCTCAGAGTGGCCAGTGGGCATTTCAGAGCAGGGCACACATCCTTTTCCTTACCCCTGAAGGTCAGCACTGCTGCCTGCTGTGTGCTGTTGCTGTTAATCTTGTATGACAAGCACTGTCAACAAACAAACATCACCTGACTTAATCCTCAAGACACTGGGTCCTTTCTGTAGATGTGTGAAGCGACACAGAGAGGGTAAGGGTCTAGCTCAAGGCTACGCATCTAAGGAGTGACGTGTAGGGGACTGTAGTGGTTCTGAGGTTTTTTTTTTTGAGGGGACATTTTCAGAACAGGGGTCTTACTCTACAGGGTGATCTCTGCCAATGCAATAGTCTCTCTTATCATAAGCAGTATCCCGGCAGGGCTGCTGTCTCCAGTCCAGCATCCCCAAAGGCCTTTCTACGTGGCTTGTTACTAATTCATTCCATCTATAAATATTTATGGTACACCTACTATGTGCCAGGTACTGAGGACACAGTTGTGAGCAGGGCTCACTCCTGGCTGAATGTTTACTCTAGTGTGGACACACAAGCACAACTAGAAGTGTCAAGAGACAGAGTAGAGGCTAGGACACTTAGACTTCAGGCCCTCCCTGCACACATCCTCGAGACCTTAGGATCTTGGTCCCAGCACCCAGCTGTTCCTTGGTTGGGCACTAGTAACTAGTGTGAATATGAGACAGAGGACACTCAGTCTTTACTGAGGGTGGGGACACAGACTCTGAAAAAGGACAGTATTGGGAACCCACTGGGCAGGGGTTCACAGACAACATGGTCCTCTGTCTCTGTCTCTGTCTCTCTCTCTCTGTGTGTGTGTGTGTGTGTGTACGAGCGTGTGTGCTGTTTTCTTGTTCCTCGGCTTTCCCCATCTCTGGCTTGTCTCTGTGTTCCTGTGTCTACCTGTCTTTGGCTGTATCTGTTCACACCCAACCTCGACGATCCCAGCCAGTGACTGTGTGTTTCTTTCTCATAGAAATGGGTTAATACCCCTTTCACAGCCTCCAGTGTGGAGCTAGTGTCACAGAGTCCCTTAACAACATCAGTCTTACAGCTGTCATCATATCCAGCCAAGGGGAAGAAGTTCCCAGGGCTGCCGGGGCTGGAAGAACAGCCGGAGTGTGATGGAGTGTCTGAGCCTGGTCACTGGTGCATCATCCCCTCGGCAGCTGGCCAAGGGGTTTCAGCCTACACTGAGGAGGGAGACCGGCCATATGGTCTGGTGTCCATTGACACAGTGACTGTGGGGGATGCAGAGGGCCTGTGTGTCTGGCCCTGTAGCTATGAGGATGATGGCTATCCAGCCGTGAACCTGGATGTCGGCCAAGAGTCTGGCCCTAATGCAGAGGATCTGCTCCTGGTCACAGACCACGCTTTTCTATCTTGCGGCTGTGTCTCAGGTAGTGGCCTCAGGCTAGGAGGCTCCCCAGGCAGCCTACTGGACAGGTTGAGGCTGCCATTTGCCAAGGAAGAGGACTGGACAGCGGGCCCACTCTGGAGAACTGGGTCCCCAGGAGGGGGCCCTGAGAGTGAAGCAGGTTCACCCCCTGGTCTGGATATGGACACATTTGACAGCGGCTTTGCAGGTTCAGACTGTGGCAGCCCTGTGGAGACTGATGAAGGACCCCCTCGAAGCTATCTTCGCCAGTGGGTGGTCAGGACCCCTCCACCTGTGGACAGTGGAGCCCAGAGCAGCTAGCATACAGTATCCAGCTGTAATGAGAAGATGTCAGGAACCTGTGATCTCCTGGTAGGCCTCTGAGCCTGACAATTACAGTGTGAATGTGTAGATGTGTGTATGTGTGCACGTGCGTGTGTGTGTGCATGTGTGCGTGAGTGTGCATGTATTTGTATGTGTTTGTGTGTGTGTGTATGTGTGTGCATGTATGCATGTGTTTGTGTGTGCGTTTGAGCACATCGAGGTTGAGGTCTGGTCTGTTGCTCTGCATTGTAATGCTAAATTCTGCACCCAAAGTTCTTAGACCTATGAGTGAATTCTCGTGTTTGCAAACTTTTGTTGTGCAAACTTTTTTCCTTAATTTAAAATATTGGTTAAATAAAATTAGCTACAGCCAATTACTGGAGGGATTAGAGGTGGGTGGGTTTCAAGTTACCTGGTTGGGGGTAGAGAAGAAGGAGAGAGGAGAGACCAAGAAGAGAAGGAAGAAGGAGAGGAGACGAGGAAGCCACCATGAGAGGAGATGGACCATAAGCATGTGGCCAGGAGAAACAGAAAGTATCTGGGGTACACTGCCGAGGAGGTGGCCAGGCCAGCAGTTAGAAGAGTAGATTAGGGGTGAGCTCCAGTAGTTGTCAAAGCCAAATAAAATAACCATAGCCAAGTCTCATTTATCTGCACACTAGGCAGGGATAAGTTTAAATTGGTTGTACTACATATCCATTTGTGACCAAACACTCAGTGTTATGAGATTTGTTCAGATTGCTGCCCCTAAGGCACATCACCAAGCTCAAGCCTACGAGGGGCCATCTCTAGGACCTATGAAGTCCTGACTATCTTTCTCCTCAGGCAGGGGGGGGTGGAGTGAGCCTACAGTACCCACTGGAATGAGAAGATTTTGAGGGAACCTAGGGATGTAAGCTGTAAACCCCAGCTCTGGTGGCTCCAGGCTATGCAGCCTGCAGAAGCCACTTCTGAACTCTATACTGACTTTGCTTGGCTGGACATTAGGGATGACATGGGTGCCCTGGATCAGCCCTATCCGGTCTGCAGCCCGTTCAGCTTCCTGCCTTCTGTGGCTTCTAGGATCCACGTGCATACTCTGAGGTGGAAGGATATAAAAAAATCAGCCTACACCCACAGCCTGGGTACCTGTGGGGCATCCTCCTGCCAAGAACACTCGGCAGGTTTCCAGGCTGCTCTCTAAGAAGCAACCCCACCAGCCAAATTGGGTTTTCTTTCTTTCTTTCTTTCTTTCTTTTGTTTGTTTGTTTGTTTGTTTGTTTTTTTTCTGGCTTCTGCTGCCCATTAAAAAGAAAGTTCCCGGAAGGCAGTGTTGACACACACCTCTGATCCTAGCGTTTGGGAGGCAGAGGCAGATGGATCTCGGTGAGTGCAAGGCCAGTCTGGCATACAGAATGAGTTCCAGGACAACCTGTGTCAACAAACAAACAAACATATAAACAACAACAAAAATTAAAAAACAACAACAAAAAAAACCCAAACCCTAAACTACTACCAAAAATGAAAAAAAAAACCCAAAACAACAGCAACAACAAAAACTCAAACAAAACAAAAACAAGCAAACAACTAGAAGGAGGAGGAGAAGGAGAAGGAGGAGAAGGAGGAGAAGGAGGAGAAGGAGGAGGAGGAGGAGGAGGAGGAAGAGGAGGAGGAAGAGGAGAAGGAGGAGGAGGACAATTCTTTTAAGTACCCAGGAAATATTTATCAATTATGAGGCAGGGGGAGAGGGTACAGAACACAGTACCTAAAGAGCTCTCTGTTTGATACCCACAGAGGGCAGGGGATTCAAAGGAGCCATCAAGAACCAGCCCTGGTTCTGTAGCCAGTCTCTGTTTTCCCTGTCTACCCTAGATGGCATGTTTATCCTAGGGGTTTAGTGGAGGTTCCCCTGCATCCAGTGATTCTTTCAAGCATGATGTATGTTGTGTGAGGGGCGCTAGGGCATGCTGGGAGGTAGTGGAGAACTCCCCAATCACCAGGGTATGGTAGGAGCTCAAGGGTGCCAGTATTTCTTAAACCTTGCTGTCTTTTTCTCCTCTTCCTCCTTTATTTCTATTTCCCTCTTCCTTTGTTTGTCCTTCTCTTCTCATATGGTCTGCTCTCTCTGCAAGGGTGCACCTGAGATGTGCTGTGGTATTTGCAGAACCAGACAGGGTTGAGGCAACAGAGAGCCTGATTCTGCTCTGGACCCGGTGGGAAGCCTCCATAGTGGCTGGGACTCTAGGGTACAGATTCTCCCCTCAATGGCCCAGGAAGAAAGGCTGTCTATCTGTCCAGTCTGCAGAACTGGACTGGAAAGAAGTTAGCAGCAGTCCACTCATTTGTAAGGCAGGGTAGCTGGTGTAATCACCAAGGGAATGCATGTATGTCCTCTGTATCTGACTCATGGCTGGAAAGTTCTGGAACACTGGTAGTTTCAACAGTGAGACTGAGCCTAGGACCAGGGTGTGAAAGGCTCAGACCAGCAAAACCCACAGCTCTTTCCTGCACGTGCACACAGCCCCACCCGGCTGCACCCCAGATACTTAGACCAAAGTGTGCTGTGGTTTTCACATACTCTGGGAGCCAGACTGCAGGTGCTCTTGGCAGCTCTCCAGGGAACCAGTTCAGCCCCTCAGCAGGGAGAGCTCCTGACTAGGATGTGAGCAGGAAGAGCATTCAGGGCTGAGGTCCTGGCCGTCACCAGCTCTAGTTTGAAGAGATGCCTCACGTGAACAAACATGGATGCGAAGTTGAAGGCAAGAGCTGGGCCACGTAGTAGCGGGTGATAAGATGTTGAAAGGCTTGAAGGGAGAGACAGCTGGATGGAGAGACAGATACTGCACAGGAGTGGCTGACTAGATGCAGCCTGTGACGCTAGTTGCTCTGTCTGCTCTCAGTTTTACTCCCAGCAGTACACACAACAAGTGCTTAATAAAATCTTAATATAAAAGCCTGGCTGGTAGCCTGTCTGATTCCAGGATCTCAGGCTCCATAGCTAGATGACTGTAGACATAGTAGTTGGTGAGGGGCTGGGAGGAGCTGGCCAGCTGCTGCTGGGCACCCAGGGCACAGTGTGAGACGGGAGGCTTTAGGAAGCAGGTAGTGTTTGTCAGACACTGGGAAATGAATAGGATGTGTGATGTGCATCTCCGTTCCAGTGAGGGCCTACAGCAGCCATGACCAACTGAGAGCAGTGGGTCCCCGTCACATAAGGCCAGCGAGAGTCCCTAGTAAGCTGCTCTGAGAGGAAGAGGGCTTCACACCACACTCTGCAAACATGTATGGCCAATGCTTGTCCAGGCTTTGCCCATCTTGGCTTTGAGGGGATGGGGCTATTCCTTGGGCAGGATGAGCTGGACCTATCTGAGATCTGTCACCAAAGCAACCAAAGAGGCAAACCTCTTAGCAAACACATATGGGATTTGCCACTTTGTTAGCTCTGGGACACGTTAGACTCCCCCAGTCCGTGCTGCTCTGTAGTCAAGGCAGACGTGTGACGTGATCAGCTTCATGTTTTAGTTTCTCTCTGTGGTGGTGCTGCGGCTAGAACCCTGGACCTCACAGGTGCAGCAGGCGTGTCCTCTGCCACTGAGCCTATCGTCCCTAGACTGTCTTTTACTTTTCCTGTTTTGAGTCAGGGTCTAAGTTGCCCAGGTTAGTCTTGAAGTATTGAGCCTCCTGCTCCAGCTTCCAAATCCCCAGGTCTGTTTCATCCTTTCCTCTGGGATTACATGTAGAGCCACTAAGAGGAACCATTCCTACAGTTGGCCTGTGGTAAAGACAACATAGCAGAGCTGACAAGGAGAAACCTTGGGGCTCCTGGATCAAGGCATGCCTGGCTGAGGCCCCTAAGTGTAGTGGTCATTGTACACCCTTCTAGGCATGTGAACTTCCCAGCCCCATGGGATCAGAGGACACGCAAGCAGAGGCAGAACTTTCTAATTTTCTGATGGAGAACTCATCTGGGATCACAGTGCCTCCCAGTCATTGTCCTGTGCTGTGGGCACCGGTGGTGACTGCCCTGGCCAGATTTAGTTCTCTCTGCCCGAGGAGAGGACTGAGTTTTCTGCCCCTGTGCCAGTATGAACTATGCCAATATGAACAAGAGACAGAAATGAACTCTTGGTCACTTGCTGTGGCAGAGGTGTGACAGTTATGCAGAACACCTCACCTCATCCTGACCCAATGGACCAGTTGATACATCTCCGATTTGTAAGCTGTAAGCTGGTTTGAGGTGGATTCCTGTTGATTGTGGCAAAAAGTGCCCCAGTATTATCCTAACAAGTCAAAATGAAGACAACTCCCATCCTTAGGACCACAGTGAGAAGAGAGGACCCAAGAGGGACATGGCTCACAGTACAGTACAGAGCTTGTGTGGCATTCAAGCAGGGGCAGAGTTGCTTAGAGCTGTTTGTTTCTGGTCTCACTCTGAGCTGCCTCTGACAGCAGGTGTTGGGGCCAGTGTGTGTGGGTGTGTGTGTTCCTAGCACTCCTTCTCTGCCCTCCCAGAGAGCTCTTGAAAGCTTCAATCACCTCTGCCAGGAACCCAGCAACCTGACCCCAATGTCTCCTATGCATTCCCACTGTGATGTGGTCTGGGTCTCCAGGGTCTCATGCAGGAAGGAGACAAATGAAAACCATTTCTCACCCTGGAAACAGAAGCCCCAGGGAGGGACTACCTCCAAAGTCCACTAAGCCCCCCTGTAAGCTGTGCTCCTTGTGGTCTCCCCAGTGGATGGAAAGATCTCTCCCCTTGTGTCTGGGGACACTGCTGCCACTTAGCAGGCAGCACATCCCAGAGAGCCCATCCAGCCCCAGACACACCCATCATAGGAAGCAGGTGAAGAACTCCCAGGGAATGAGGAGGCAGTCAGTGAGTAAGTAGCCTTGCCTCTTTGTGGTGGCTGCTTTTTGTGCAGGTGAAACTAGAAGTAGAGATCTCTGATGACAAACTGGAGAGGGGACATGCCTTGACCAGAGCATGTGGGTCACAATCCCTTTGAGGATCATATATCAGAAATCTGCATATCAGATGTTTGTACTATGATTCATAATTACAAAGTAGCAATGGCGGAGGGGGTGATGGGGTGGGAGTGGGGTCACTACAACATGAGGAGCTGTATGAAAAGGTCTCAGCATTAGGAAGGATGAGACCCACCAGTCTAGAGCCATCCATGTGCTCAAAGGTGTGAAGGACAGGATCCAGTTCACATTGCCTCAGTGTGACTAACTGTGGTGGTGCATCCTTATTCTCAGCTGCAGCACACACCTGCCTGGCTTTGCTCCGTAACCAATGTGGATTAACAAAACCCTCCTTGGAGTTTGGTACCATGTCTGTCCCCACGGGTGGGGCAAGGACTGAAGTTGCTGTGAAGGAGCCCAGATGGGGCAG